TATCTTATCTTATCTTATCTTATCTTATCTTATCTTATCTTATCTTATCTTATCTTATCTTATCTTATCTTATCTTATCTTATCATGTTTCACTCTTTTTTATTATTGGTCACATATTTGCAAAAACATTGACAAAAAAACTGCTAAAGCTAACCAACGTTAATAATCTCATGTTAGCTTTGGTCACAGCTTCAAAGAACCACTTCGGAGGGACCAAAGAGCCACAGGTTGCAGACCCCATGGGACAGACAAACTAATAGTACCTCCTCATTCCTGTACTTCCCCAGGAGATAAACTGGAGCTCCAGGATGGCCGACTGCTTTTCCTTTCACGAAGGCKATGTAGAAGCAGGAGGAGTAATAGTTGACGAACTGAAACAGGAACATCTTCATCGTCAAGCTGTTCTCGTAGTCTCTCATCGTCCGAGGAAGCTCTGTTGTCCCATCGCATATAAAAAGATGTTCGGGTTAAACCGTGCTCTGTTCAACAACAAACAAACAAACAAACAAAAAAAAAGACTACGTGCAACACACACCCACCAAAGTCTGTGATCCAGATGGCGACTCGTTCGTAGAGCATGTTAAGGATCATGATGACAACAAAGCTGATGATGGAGGCTGTGACAGAGGTGGCCATCTGGGGCGTCACATACTCCTTTATTGGCTCCAAGTTCTTCAGCTCAGTGGAGTCTCTGAGTTTAACTGATAATGTGAGGAAGACAGCCAGTCGGTACACAATGATGGCCACAATAGAGGCCAGGATCAGAAAAATCTAAAAGACAAAACAACAGAGTGATTCTTTTTAAGGGCATTTTGGGTCTTATGAACAAACAAGAGTAAACTGTTGCAGAAAATAACAGTTGAGACAAGATTTTATTATATAAGGTGTAAGAATACCATTTTCAAAAAAGGCCTGTAGAAAAACAGTTGCAGTAAAAATATGTATTTACCCAGAATAAGACGGTTCCAATTCCTATTGACACCCGAACGCACCGTCCACAGGTTGTATAAGGCACCTTTTCCTTCACCTAAAAACAYGTTATCAGGCACTGAACTTTAACCAAATATTTTTGTTTCTATGTTTTAGAACAGTTTTCAGTAACGTATGTATATTTTTTTACCCCAGTGATCGGATTTTTCCTCTCATAAATACACTTGGCCTCATATTCTGGGCGAGGCGGCTCTTCCTGCTCCAGAAACTCCACAGTGTCCCAGTCGTACTCCAACTCCGCCTGGTAGCGCTTCCAAAACTCCAGGAACAAAGTGACTACAGGAGGAAAGACAAATAAAAACACAATATGCTATAATCGGTCTCTTTCATTTGTAGACACGTGATGTAAAAAGATGTTACTGCCTTTAATGTGTCCAAATGTGAGGCTGAAATGAAGAYGTCACACTAATGCCTGTCAAACTTACCCCACACTGACATGAAAACAGCAAACACTAAAGTCCCGAAGTGGTCAAATACGCAAAGTGTCTAAAAAAAAAGAAACAAAACTGCTGAGTCATCGAATAAAAAAACAGAAACACAAAGAAAACAATCAAAAATGAGAACAATCTTCCCTGTCAGTATCTAAAATCTATAAGAACAGAAGCTAAAAGCTAAACGTAGTTAAGTGAAGTGTGTTTCTGAAGGACCTGAAGAGACCGTAGCTCCTGTTTTGCTAAAGGCCCTGTCACACTAGACAACTTCATGACAACTTTATGACAACTTATGAAACATTTTTTTATCTAACCTGCTAATAAAAGTTAAATATTTGATCAATTTGTTCATGTATGTTGATTTTTTTTTTCAATTCCATTTTCAACGTGGACCTCTTTAAAATGTTGGCACAAGTTGTCTAGTGTGACAGGGCCTTATGAGATGCTGACTCARCATTCACACAATCAGAAACTGAATGCTCACTTTTGAAGTGTCACAAGTGCTGTTTAACATCCAGTATTTGCAGAGGTCACACTGTGGACACATAACGATCTGTCCTCCGATCTCTGGGTCGCACACCTCTTTGCTGAAGGAGTTTAGAACAGACAACACGTGTTAACAGAACGGAAGCAGACTTAAAGAAATGTAAACAGTACAGGCAGCAAATATTGCTCTAAAACCTTGACCTTCCTGTTGCCCCTGGGTCAAAATGACCCACGAGGCCTCAACATTAAAGGTGACCTATTATGGGGGTCCTAGAACAAGTTAGGATCCATCTGTGGGCTATACAAAACATGTTCATTTAATTCACAAAATTAATCTCAGATAATGAAATTTCACCATTTCAGTTCTGCCTGTTCTTCAGCTCTSTTCTATGGAAACCCCCTCCCGACCTTTTTTTTTTTAACATTAGCTCCGCCCCCTGCCAGAAGTTTACTTTCAGTTTCTTTTCGGCAGAAAATACTATTTTTCCAAAGTAGTTCATGGTGAAATTATTCACACAAACTTTCTTTAATATTGCTAGAACATTGCCATCAAAAATAAATTTAAATGAAAAAAATTAATCCACACATCTCTGTTCTCCATGACGGTTGTAAAACAGCAGAACCGTCCTGTGAGGAAGTGGGCGGAGACTCTGCTTGGGTTACCAGGAGATGGGCTGGGCTCAGGTTGGGGTGGGCTGGAGTGAGTCTTGTGACATCACAAGTAGCGGTGTTTGAAAACGGCTCATTTCAAGACACAGAAAAATACATTTACTTACAGTAAAAATACCTCCAAGTGCATTTTTTTGTTTGGTGCTTGGACTGTTTTTAGAAGCAGTACAGACCCAAAAGTAAGTAAAAAAAACAAAAACTGAAAAAAGTGAATTTTGCATATTAGGTCCCCTTTAAGACTGAGGTCCCGTGGATTAGTACCCAACACCTCCCACACTTCATCTCATTCAGGGTTGTTGGTATAGCTCTCCTCAGTTGATAAATGACATATCCTTGGTCTGTCTGCGATACCTCCATGTGCTTGTTTCTTGGTTATGGTAGCCGTAAAGGAAACAGCCCAGTCCCACGACAGCCGCCACAATGAGCATCATGGTGTAAAAACCGAGCCAGGCAAAGTAAATGCCGATCTTCTCCCCAAAGTACTTCCTGTGCAGGGAAATAAAACTCTTTGATATAGCAAATTTTAAAAAAGCACACTACAGCACTTCCTGTATTTAATAATGCTGTATTTCTCACCTTATGAGGTCAAGTGGCTGCATCTTGTAGAAGTTTTTGGGATGTGCCCACTCTTTAAAGAGTAGAAGCCTCTCATTGGGACAGTCCTCTTCTTCAGACTTGACATTAAACCTGCTCTTTAATGGCAAAAACATTAAACATATTTAAGTACTGAAAAACAAATGAACTGTAAAAGTAAATAAAGTAGAGCTTACATCATGGAGGGGATAGGCAGCTTTGTACACTCCACCATCCAGGAGTTTGGTGATGCCGAACTTCCTAATATTTCCTCGCACTTCGTAGGGAGCTCTGCTTAAGATGTAAAACGCCTGAGATAAAAAATAAATTAAAGATGTTTGCTCTTCCATAGTCAGCTCTTTAAAAAAAAAAGATGTTGCAAGCATAAACGAAGAGCCGAAGCCTGTTGCTACTTGCCATTCTGCTCCGCATGGACGGTGTAAAGAAGAGATCCCTGTTTATGCTCAAAAAGTCCTTCGCTCGTCGTTTCTCGAAGGGAGCAGTGAAGAACTCGGGCTCCTTTCGGATCAGGTCTTCGTCGGGATAGAAGTGTTTGGTGATGCACTTGAAAAAGCGCCCCAGTGATGGRCGGCGGGGGATGTCGTTGGGCTTGATGGGAACCTTGATGTGCAGGACCTCGGCGTACGTGCACAGCACATCCCACGGCATGTGAACCTTCACGAATATGACTTTGTCGTCCACCACCTGCACAACACAACAGGAGTTCAATTTAGGTAAAAGAGACACGAGTAATAATAAAAAAAAAAACAGGTTTAAATAACTTCCACTTACAGATGGCACGGCTTCCAGCTCAATACCCATCTTCATCAGGCTGGCCTCAAAGTACTCCCGTCTTCTCTGAAAAATACAGATTTTACAAATTTACAATTTTTAAATAATAATAA